TTATATATAAAAGATTATAGTCTTTAGTATATAACTAAAACCTTAAAAGTAATATAAATATATAGAATATTTGGGAAATCTAGTACTAGGCCGAATTAGAAGATTTATATATAATTAAAAAGAAATACTATTTTTTGTATTTTTTAAAATATTTCTAGTATTAATATAGCTATTCTTTTAGGAATTATATATTAATATTATAATATCACACTCTCTATTTCTAAATAATATTAACTTTATTAATTTTATATAAATAGTATTTCATATCTATATAATAATACTATATATTACTAATAAACTAATAGTAGTATATATATTAAATTAAAAGAGCTATTTTATAAACCTTTAATACTAAATTACTTTTATAGAAATATAAACTAGAAATAAAATAAAATATTTATATTAGATTAAATTAAAAACTAGTATAAATTAAAGAATATTTAATTAGAACTAATAATTATTTATATATTTAAATAAAATAATATTTCTAAATATAATATATATATAATTATTAAAATAAAATATATAGAACTAGAATAATTAAAGTCTATTATATAAGTTCTAAAAGAAAATAGCTATATATAGAATTTATACTTATAATTAATATTATTTATTTAAAATTAATATAATTTTATATAAAACTTTTTATAGAATTAAATCGGATATTTCTAATTTATAAATATTTAGTTTTTTAATATATATATATATATTTAAAAAAAAATAGCTTTATAATTAGTATATTAAATAATTTAGTTTAATTTAATTATAGCCTCTGAATTAAATTAAATTAAGTCAAAATCTACTTAATTAAATCATAATTAACTATAATTAACTATAGTTAATTATAGTTAATTATTTAGTTACGTGAGTATATATATATGCTCGGAGGTTCGAAAGCGAGATAAGGCTAAAATTAGGCTTAGACTAGTCCGTATCCGGTATTACTTAAGGCACTCCTTACTAAATCGGGTATTATACTACTTAGTAAGCGAAGCGGCGCGAGCCAAAAATACTAAAATCTCCTCGATTTTCTAGTAATTCTTCGCTATCTTATAAATCTTATTATTATAAATAAATTAGCTAAAAATAGGCTCTTTTATAAATAGATACTTTAAAATTAGAGGGCTATATCTAATTAGACGCTTATTAAATAATCTTCTAGATTCTAGAGGATTTATATATAAATAAGTAATTTTTCTCAGGTTACTTTCTTTTCTCTTTATTTTATATATAAATATCTCAATAATTATAGCTCTAATTAAGAAGCTTTTAACTATAAATTTACTTATTTTTACTCGATATATTTGAAAATGTCTTAATAATCTTTAATTAATCTTAATATCCCTTAAAATAGAAAGAAATAAAAAAGAATAAAAAAGATAAAAAAGAGGTTTCTAAGAAAGATATTCAGTTTTTTATACCCGATTTAGACTAGCTTTATGCTCTTATATATATTCTATAAGTTTTGTTTATATCTTATTAATATAGCCATTAGTTATTTAATAATCTTTTAAGTTACTTAAGAAATTCAAGTTTTTTTAGTATTATATAATAATTATAATTAAATTAAATCAAGTCAAAATTTACTAAATCAAATTATAATTAACCATAATTAACTATAGTTAATTATAATTAATTAGTCTTGATTTTTTTAATATACTATTTATAATATAAATATATAACTAAGGCTTTTAGAAATATTTTTACTAGCTATAATAATTCTAAATATTATATTTAAAAGTTTTATAAGTATATATTTATTATTTTTAATTATTATATTATTAAAAAATATATTAAAAAAGTATATTTCTTAAATTAAATCTTCTAGCTTTTTAAAAGACTTATTAGTATTACTAATAATTAAAATAATACTTCTAGTAATAATATAAATAACTTTAGCTTAAATTAAGAAAATATTATTATTATTAATATTAGAAATTAATTATTTAATATTCTATTATAAGTAAATCTTTTAAATACTAAGAATCTTAATTATCTAGTAATTTAGAATTAATTTCTATTATTTAGAAAATACTCATATTATTTAATATAATTTAAATAAGAAATAAATTAACTAGAATTATAAATAGAAATTATAATTATTATACTTTATTTACTATTAATTAAAATACTAAAGCTTCTAAGATTCTATTATTAATTAAAGAAGCTTTTACTAGTTTAAATATCTATTTATAGAAACCTTTTATTAGAAAGAAACTATATTTCTATTTATATAATTATATATAGAATCTAGTAATATAAAAGTAATAAAAGATTATTAGATATTATTAAATATTTAAAATCAAGTCTAATAAATACTATAAATTAAGGCTTATAATATAAGAATATACTTAATTATATAATATAAACTACTTTAAAACCTTTATTTTAATAGCTAGGCTTTTTATTATTTAAATTCTATTAGCCCTAATAGCTAAATATAGATTTTATATCTATTAAATAAATATTTAAATAGCCTTTTTATATAGAGATCTAGAAAAGAAATATTATATAAAATAACTATTTAGTTTTATTAAAAGAATTAACCTTATTTATTATTTATAAAAGAATATTTATAGGTTAAAATAAGCTTTTAGAGTCTGGAATTAAATAATTAATAGTTTCTTTAATACTATTAGTTTCCTGAAATTATTTAATAATTTAGTTCTATATATATTATATATATATAAAATTAATTAATTATCTTTTCTAATTACTATTTATATTAATAATATAATTATTATTAGTAAAAATATAGCTGAGATTAATTAAATTAAGAATGAATTCTATTAGAAATTTAATATAATTAATTTAAAAGAAATTAAAATATTTCTAGTAATAGAAATTATATAATTTTAGAATAGTTTAGTATTTCTATACTAAAATTAATATTTTATAAACTTATTTTAAAGATATAAAATAGAGGGTTTAACTCTTATATTTATACTAATAATATATATTATAATAGCTAGAAAGAAAAATATTAATATTACTAAATATTAGAGTTATACTAAATTATTTATATAGCTATTTCTAGTAACTAGATCTAATTTTTACTATATTACTAGGTATTTAGAGCGGTTTAATTCATGCCCTAAAGCCTCCTATAGCTCCATATAAAAGCGTATTATATAATATATTAAAGGATCTCTTAATATAGATATTCTATATAATATAATATTTAAAAAAGAACTTATTAGATATTTAGATACTAATTATAAAGGCAATTTATAAAACTATAAATTAACTTCTGGTATAGTTTTTACTTTCTTTAATAAAGTAATTAGCTAGACTAATATAAAGCAAAAAATAATAGTAACTATAATTATTAAAATAGAATATATTATTTTTATTCTAGTTATTAAGGAAGCCTTATAACTAAAGTAATTATTTAAGGAAATATTAATTCCTATAGAAACTATTAATCTAAAAATAGATATTTAAAAAGCTCTTAATCTAGTTATAAATATACGATTTTCTTAGAAAATTAAATATATTAATATTAGATATTATTTTATTAAAAATTATATTAATATTATAGATATTAAGCTTAAGTATATTTCTATTATAGAAATAATAGCCGATATTTTTATTAAGCTACTAGCTAAACCTGCTTTTAAACTACTATATTTAAAGCTTAGTATTATTAGCCTTATTAATATTAAATCTCGATTATAAAAAGAAGATATATTAAATTAGCTAGTTTAGGTTATCTATTTCTTTTATTCTAGTTTTAACTACTAGTTAGTTCGTTCTATTATTGGAATATGCTTATATATAGTTATACTAATTGCTTTATTAGTATTCTGTTATATGAATACGGTTATTAGGGAGCTTAGCTTCGCTTACTCAGCAGCTCCCCATTATTTAGCTAGATCCAGAGGCTCCTTGCGAGCTTCTAATCAGACAACCATTTATGCAAATTACTGTTCCTTGCTATTTGCGATATATTCCTATTTAATTATATTTATTAAACCTATATTTAGGAATTAGTATAGTAATCGTATTACTATTACAATGCGGGGTAAATCACATAGTATACTGGGAATTAGGAATATAGCTATGGAAGTCATTCCCTTAGTTTTCATGGTGGAATACTCCTGTAATTAGCTATTCTACAGATTGTTAACCTTCAATTTAATCGATTTCCCTATATAAATCGATTCTCAGTTTAACAGAAAGCGTTCTGGTGTGTCGTAGCTCAGAACGCGACGAATTGTTGATTCATTGAGCTCATAACGCGTTATAAGCTGGTAGACTGGTACCTTTGCAAACCAGTATATCTGGCGTATTGCTTCCTTGTGCTTTGTAGGGATTTCATCGCCTTTATTATACTCAAAGTCGAGGGGAGGGGTAGTAGCCATCGTAAAGTGTAATTTATTAAATTAGTGGTGGGAGAGCCTGAAATGGAGCCTGAACGCACAGACCTACGGTGGTGGGCTCGTAACCTCTTTTTACTGATTAAAAGTTTTAAATACTATAGAAGGACTGCGGAGGACAAAAGTATATAATAACAACTCGAGAACTAAACCGGTTCGTAAGTAAGTAAAGAAGAGAGAAAGAGGGAGGAGAAGCCTATGTACATAGGGGTAAGTCACGTGAATGGCACATGCGAGCGCACGTGACCCCCAGCCAAGCGTCCCCGAAAATCGCACTATAATACCTTTATCGTTTATTTCTTTTTATAATATAAGCTGACTAGTTCGCTTAATAAAATAAGGGTTTGCTTGCTAATATATACACTCAGCACTTGACGCCAATCCTGACATCGGTTGACACAACTTTAGTGCTTATATCCGCTACGCGTAACATCTGCATGGCTGCCCAATATTGCATTTTCAGGTTCAGGCCTCGAATTTTTGTTACCTGACCGGCGCTTGCCGTAACTCATTCTATATCTTAGCAATTTTCACCAAATTGATCGTTCTCGGTTTCTAGAGAAAGCTTCTAAGAGTTAACAATTATTGGAATTGAATTTACCATCCACAACCATGTCCGAGTGGTATCCAACTTCTTATTGGTCGCATTGGCGATCGACTTCAAGCGCACAGGTGCATGAAACAGAAGCTGAGCCTGACAAGTTCAATTTCTTATCCTTTCTCGCCATAGCTCAGGCGCTGCAGATTGAATTCCTCCCAATTGTCAAGGATCTAGGGCAGGAAGCTATAGGCATTGGTGGAACTTCCACAATCCACGAGTCACTCGTAAACGTGGACACGAGCTTTGCCTTCAAAGTCCACCACAAGCGAGGCATGACCGAGGACCAGGTCTTCCGCAATCTCATAAACGAGGTCATTGTGTCAAGTCAAGTGTTTATCCGTAGCCATGCAAGTATCGCCCAGCTGCGTGGGATTTCCTGGGATGTTTCTGCCGATGATGATAAGCCGTGGCCCGTCTTGGTTTTCCAAAAATCGCATTTTGGAGACTTACATCACTTTGCAATGCATGGGGGAAGAGACATGACAGTCGTCGAGCGACTCGATCTTTGCTTGGACATCGGAAGAGCGATCGAAGACATGCACTGTAACAGTAAGTGAGACTACAGTTTTCAATGCAGCTTGTGCTAATCAAATGGCACTGCAAGAGATTGTGCATGGTGATATTAAGCCGGAGAATGTTCTCGTCTTTAAAGGAATGACAGGAAGATTTAACGCAAAGGTCATAGACTTTGGGTACTCCAGCCGCTACATCGACCGAAACCAATACCTCCTACTGGCAAGATCGGAGCCATGGAACGCGCCAGAAAATGACGGTCGTCAGGATAAGTGGACTCTATCAGAGGCTGTAAAAGCTGATATGTTTTGTTTCGGCATGCTATGTCTCTGGCTTTTGTTTGAGCCCCGTATATCTGGAGGGTTACTACTGCTACCAAATCTAGAGGTAGTAGACATTGAACTTCCCAGACCGGCAGAAGACACTCTGCGCATCATGAAGGGAAAGCTCAAAACGTATGCCAGCTATCTCTTATCATGCGACACAGGCTTGAGACAAGACCAAAATATGGCCCTACAAGAATTCTTCGACTCGAGCTTAAGTCATATCTCCAACGAACGGCAGATGAGTCTGCGGATGTTCCTGGAAAAGATGGATCCACAAAGGTAAGCTCGGCCTTCCAGAGAATTACCAAGCTGACCAGAAGAAAGAAGGCCACTCTACCAAGAAGTCATCACCACAACTTCTGAATATAGTCTACAAAGTAGTGACTTCAAGGTACGAATTTCCCTAATCCAGCGGATGCCATCATGAATTTCTAACGTTACATAGATTGAAGGATCGATATTTGATTTCTATATCACTGACTATCGAGTTCGGTCCTATATTGCTCAATGCCTTCTAGATCACTATTCTCAATCCGCGCCAATAGCGATTCAGGCAGCTCTCTGCTACTATATTGGTTTCGGTGTTAAGAGGGACGAAGCCAAGACTAGGGAAATCCTACTTCGAAACAACCAGAAAATCCAAAGAGTTAAAGATATAGCCTCCGTTCTGTGTCAGAGACGGAGCGAATTTCCATCTTCTTCTGTGTCTGAGCTGAGAGGTTTTGGCCATTTCCCTCGGTCAGATTTTGCGTACCTCTACTTTGATCAGGAAAGAATTGACCAGGCGGAGGTACAATTAACGCAAGAAACTGATGATTTGACAATCGTTTTTGGCGGTAGTCATGCTCTCACGGTACTATCTAAAGACATACTTGGGGGTGTATATTTTATTCAAGGCCGGATCAAAGAAGCTGAAACTGTCTTGACGCAGGTCGCAGAGATCCGGAAGACCACGCTCGGGCTCGATCATCCCTCCACATTGGCAAGCATGGTCAACTTAGCCATCTCATATTGGAGCCAACACCTGTGGGAAGAATCTGAGAAGCTACTTAGGCAGGTGATAGAGACCTGTACGCTTAGGCTTGGGGCCGACCATCCTAACACGCTGGAAACTATGGCTACTCTGGCATCGATACTCTGGAGTCAGCATCGATTGGAAGATTCTGAGAAGCTGGAGTTACAGGTGATGGAAATTCGAAGGGCTAAGCTCGAGGCTGACCACCCTGAACTGATTTCAAGTATGGGCCAACTAGAATTAATGTACGCGAAGCAGGAACGGTGGGAGGAGGCTGAGAAACTAAGCGTACAGCTGACTCAGATATACAAGAACAAACTTGGTGTCAGCCATCCTATCACCCTAGGGAGCATGGATGAACTAGCAACTATATATACCAACCAGAGCAAGTGGGAGGATGCTGAAAAGCTAGAGATACTGGTGGTGGAGACTTACAAGACTAAACTAGGTGCCGACCATCCTAGCACATTAACAAGTATGGCTAACCTGGCCCTCATATATAAAAGTCAGGGCCGATTAAAAGAGGCTGAGAAGTTGTTGAGGCCAGCGAGAGAGTCTTGTAGCATGAAACTTAAGGAGGTTCGTCGCCCTACAAGAGCAAACCTAACTGCTCTATTATCAACACTGCGGAAAATAGACCAGTTAGAGTTTGCTAAGGATTAGACTTGTATCAGACGTCGCTGCAGACGTCCTTCAGTATTCCTTCATCCAAAACTTTGTCAACTTCTCTTCTCATAATGAGCATGCAGGACGGGCCCAAGTATGTCATGGATCGCATCTTTGGCGGCACCGGCTCAAATGATGCTGTTGTTGGCCCTGGAGCTCCGGAGAGCAGCACTTCACACAAGCGCGTCTGGCCTGGGATCCCTCTTGAATATTGTCCGCCTTCTCCTAAAATCGAAAATGCTGTGAAAGAAGTTATGTTGTCGTCTGAGATTGTACAGTGAACTTCTTGCAGCAGCGAGTGCGTCAAGGAAAGGTCGACAGCCCCTACAGCGGAGCAACGACCTCCTAGCATCATGACTTGCCTCAATTACCCGAGTCTGCCTTATAGGGGGTTCAGCTGTCAATGCTTAGGGGCGTATTGGCTGGGCCGCGTATGCTATTGGTATAGCTGGGCATTGAGAGCTATGCTGCTTAAGAATGACGCTCCTTATTAATGCAACTTTTCTGCTAAGATTGTTCTGCCTTGCCGTGCGCTACATAAACTGCTATTCGGCCCAATCTCCTGATATCCCTGCCATAAAAGCTCGTTTCCCTCGTCTGTCTCTACCTACGTTAAATGTTAAAGCTGTGACATACCCTTTACCGTAGTATCTCTCATACGGCGTGACAAAACCGCCTGAGCACCGCTACAGGCCTGTCCTGTGTCGGTCGTACTCACCTGTAGTGCATGAATCTGCTGGCTGCGCCGAGATGATTCTGCCTTACGTTACCCTCCCGGGATCGGACAAGTGTCGTATCCACGCAAACGAGCCTGTTCTTTGACCCCTCTGTGCCGTATCACAGATGCATGAATCTCTATAGTGCCTCTGAATGAACCCCCTGCTGATCCTTTACTCCTTTCGCCAGTACCGTTTGAGTATCGGTGATGTCTGCCTTGCTAGGATCTGCATGAATCCCCTAAAGCCACCTGACGCGGCATCGCCGCTGCATGTCTCTCCCTCACCCAGCTGATCCTTCGTTAGTACAACATTGGTGCAATTCTGCCTTGCTAGGATCCGCATGAATCTCCCAAACTTCTTAATGAATCCTGCTCGATATAGCGTCGCTGCTACCTGGATCTCGTTGTAGTTAGCAAACAGTGACTAACCAAAAACGGTGCTACGAGATCCAACGTCCGTCCACGCCTGGGCTCTCAGCTCCTTCTGCATGCTATAATTTTATGAGGAATACAATGCCCTGGTGCTTCTGTTTAACAAGGTACTGTGCAGGATCAGGCCACATCGGCACGCCCCCGCAGCTTAACAAGAGCAGGCGTGCTTCGTTAACGTGTACACAGGCAGACTCATCTCGGCGACGGTGTATTGATCGAAGAGAAGCTAGTACCTTTCTAAATAAGTATGTAAAAGTTGATAAAGCTCTTAGAAAATTGAAGTCGTATACTCTCGTATACGAGTTGGGTTGTTTGGGGGGAGTTGAGGAGAGGTTATAGGGGCATTAAGCGAGGCTCCTTCGGTTAAAAAGGGGACCCAAATCGGCTCCGACAGGGGACCGAGAATGGCCACCGTCACGATATCTTAATAGGCTTAGAGAGGTGGCTATGCTGCAGGCAGCAGGATCTGTAAAATTCTATATATAAATAATATAGAAACTATAACCGACTCTCGAGGGAGCTAGAAAGGATCCCCCTGAGCGTGATCCAGCTGACTTTCAAGTGTGCTCAGGGCACAGAGCTTGGCTCAGGGCTTAGCTCAGGTTAAGGCAGCGACTGCTCAGGTCCAAAGACGGAAGTGGACTTTGGAGAGGTCCAGATTCGACTGAGATTATATAATCCTCTATAGTTATAAGCCGGGTTACAAAGTTCAAGCCAAGCCTATACTCGCTAGTAGGAGCTAGAGCTTGGATCGCGTATTTTAATTACTCGTTTATAGCTTTTGGGCAAGGAGAAATAGCTCTCTTTTACTTTGCTTTCCGGACCCGGTTCGCTTTCTTATTTCGTTCCCGGTATATATTATATATAAAGAACTGGCCGAAGTCTGTAAGAGGCTTTTTTTAATTATAAGAGGAGCAGTATTACTTTTACGGGCTCTTTTGGATCTCTTATAGGCCCTTCCAAGCCTTACTTGCCCCCGCAAGCCCCTTATTATCCGTATTTTCGCCTGCAAAGCTCTCTCTTTCCTCCTATAAATCCTCCCAAGCCTTATTCTTACCAGGAAACCCTCCCTAGCCATCCTGCAAGCCCGTAGAACTCCCTTCCTTGTCCGTTAGGCCCTTCTAGCTCTTTTCCCGGCCTATATCTCCCCTTTTCTCCCCTTATAAGCTCTTTCCTATATCCGTAGAACTTTCCTACAGGTCCGTATAGTCTACTCACTACTAATAGGAGCCCTCGTAATACTTTTCTCCCTTTTACTAGCTCTTAATCTCCTTTTATATTATATTCTAGCCTTTTATAAATGCCCCTTATATCTACTACTCTCATATATCTAATTACCTTTACTTTCTCTTCTTTTCCTGTATTTATACCTATAAGGCCTTTTCTACTACCTATTATACCTATATAAATTACTATATTCGTTTTTTCTTTAAAACCGGCTGGCTCTTTTACCTATAATAAGAATTATATCTTTATATATAATATATAAAATATATTATGGCTCGAAAGTTAGATTAATCTAAAGAATAATTTATAATTAGCCAGAAAGACTTATATTTAGAATAGTAGAAGTATTTAAAAAGAAAGAAAGGTTTTATTATATTTTTTCGTATTATTTATAGTTCGGGTAAGATATATTTAAAATAAATTAACGGGCCTAATATAAAGAATAAAAAACAAGTATAAATAGGAAAATAGAATATATGTATTCGTTTATTATAAAAAAATTCTATATATTTTTAAGCTTTAATACTCTTATATAAGTTTAGGTATAAGTTTTAGTATTTCTATATAAATAAGAACTAGTTATATAATAGTATTTATATTATATAAAAATAACTTAATATTATATAGAATATAAATATATTTTAAATAAAGTTAGTTTATAAGCTCTATAAAATAAGGCTTTTATTTCTAGATAAATTATTTCATTTTAATTTTCTAGTAAATAAAAGTAATTCTAGTATATAATATAAAGCTAATAATTAAGGTTTCTAATTAATATATATTCTAATTTTATATTATATAATACTAGTTATATAATACTATTATATATAATTTAATATATAGCTAATATTTTAAATCTAGTAAATAGCCTTTAGCTTAATATAAGCTTTTTATTATTATTATAATATTACTTTATTATAATATCTTAGCTAAACCTATAATATTAAATAATAATTATTATTAATAATAATAATATAATTCTTTTATATTTAAAAAGAAAAGAAGCTAAAATATTTCTTTATATATTAAATATAGCTTTTATTTAAAAATTTAAAAAATCTTAAATTCTTTATTTTAAAACTTAATATTTTTATATATATAAATACTTTTAATTTAATTTTATTTTATATATATTTAAAAATTAGTATTATTATTTTTTATATAAAATAATATATTAGTTATAAAATTCTAATTTTATATTAAAAAGTTTTATTAAAAGAAGAAATTTGAATTAAAAACTAAAAAGAATTAAAATTAAAATTAAGCTTTTTTATATAAAGTTAATTATTAACTATTATTCTAATATATAAAATATTTATATAATTTTATAATAAATATAATATTATTAATAAAAAATTATAATTTTTATTATTAAATATATAAATATATATAAATCTAATTTTAATTAAAAAAAATTAATACTAAATTTTATTTTATAAAAAACTCTTTTATTTAATATAATATAATTCTTTTAAATAAAAAATCGATTTTAAAACTTAAAAATTTAAAAATAAATTTTATAATTTAAATATTAATTATATTTTTAAAAAATTAATATTTTAAAAATATTATATTATTATATAAATATATTAATAAAACTAATTAATAGAAGTCTTTTTTAAATTATATTATTAATATTAGTAATTTATAAACTTTAAATTTAATATTAAATATTATTTAATATATATAAAATTAATTTAATTATTAGTTATTTAATTATTAAAATCTTAAAACTAGTAATTTTAATAAAAAAAATTTATTTAAAATATATATTAATTAATAATTAAGTTTATTAAAAATTATATTAAATAAATAGAGTTATAAAATTTATAATAAATAATATTTTAATTATTCGAGCCCTTTTTATAATTATAATTAAAAAGAATTTCTTTTAATATAAGGCAGTTTGTTAAAATATAAAGCCTTTATAATAAGCTATAAAAAAGTAATATAATATAATAAATTATATTTTATAAAAATTATATTATTTTAATAATTTCAGAAATTTAATTATATAATTTAAAAGAATTATATAAAAATACTAGCCTTTTTTATAATTCTAGAATAATAATTTTCTTTTTTATAAATTAATTAATCTTTTTATTATTATTTTATTATTTAATTATTATTAGTTTATTAGTTAAGTTATTTATAAAATATAAAATTATATAATTATATTTTATTACTTATATTTTATATTTCGAATTCTATAATTATATTAATATTAAAATTTCTTTAAAAAATATAAAAATTAATATTTTTCTTTAATTATATATTAATTCTCTAATTTTTTCTAATATTAGATTTTTTAAATACTTTATATATTTATATTATTTTTAAGATTTTAGTTATATATTAAAGATTATAATCTTTCAATATAACTTTCTTTTCTATAATATTCTTTTATTTTATATATTTATTTTCTGTTTTATTTATATTTATATTAATTAAATATTTAAGAATATTTAATAGTTTTAATTTTATTATATAATTAATAAAATATAATTCTTTTTAATTTATTTTACTTTTATAATCTCTTATTATTTATATATTTAATAAAAATATATTAGATTAATTATTAGGTATTTCTTTTAAATAATACCTAATTTAATAAGATATTTATATAATAACTTTAAATTTATATAAATTATTAATAATAGTTTCGTTTCTAATATTTTATTAATTATAGATTTAATTAAAATACTTATATTAAAACTATAAATTATATTATAGAATTCTAAAACTAAAATATTTCTAGTAATTCTTTTATATTTAATAAAGAACTAATAAATAATATTAGTATATTTAATTTTATTTATTAGAACTAAAATATATTTAGTTTTTTTAAAAAAAGATTTATTATTATAAATAAAAAATTTATAAAAATAATTAAATATAAAAGTTTTTTTACTAGTTTTATAAATTATAGTTTTTTAATAATATTTTTAATTTATTAAATACTTTTATATTAGTTTTCGAAAATTTAATAATTTAAATAATAATTAATAAATTATATAAAGCTTTTAGTTAATAAATTAATATAATTTTTTTTAATATATTAGATAATATATTAGTTTTAAATAAAAAGATTTTAATAAATAATATCTTTATTATTTATAGTAAT